CATGTGGGAGACCCTTAAGAAGCTCCTGGCTCTTGGCTTCAGACTGGCACAACTCCAGCTGTTGTGGCCATCTGGGAAGTGAACCAGCGGATGGAAGACACTCTCTTTTGTCTCTCTCTTTCTCTCTCTCTTTCTCTGCCTCTCCTTCTCTGTAACTATGTCTTTCAAGTAAATAAATAAATCTTAAAAAAAAAAAAAAAAAGTTAACCAGACTTAAGCTAGAAGCCTTTAGGCCTATTTCTTAGTCTGTTTTCTGTTGCTGTAACTATATATCTGAAACTGAGTAATTTATAAATAAAGAGGTTTCTTTTGGCTTCTGAGGGCTGATGTAGAACAGATAAAAGAGGGCTGAACTCCAAGGCTGCCAACCCATTACCCAGATAACAGTATTTATTAGGTCATGAGGACTCTGGCCCACACTCAAAGCCTTTATAATAGGGCCCCACCCTCCAATATATGCAGAAAAAGTATGATAAAGCTCAGCTTCCCTTCTTGATAAAAACCCTGACCAAATTATGTATGAAAATTGAAAAGATGTCAAAATTACAGATAATATGATCTTGGCATATGTATGCAATGGAATATTATTCAGCCACAAGCAGTATAAATTCTGTCATTTGTCACAAAATTAATGGAACTGGACAGTGAGTGATGTAAGCCGGGCTCAGGAAGACAGACACCACACACCCTCACCCATTGGTGGAAGCTAAGAAAGTACATCACATGGAAGTCAAGAGTCAACTAGGGGTCACTAATGAGTAACAAGCTCTGTGGAAGAGGGAGGAGGGGGAATCACGGGTACCAAGTTGCCATGGCGGTGGGGGTAGTTCTAACAGCATCACTATTACAGGCTAACTATAGCCTGTAACAACTAGTTATACATTTCAAAATAACTAGAGGAGAGGAGTGTGAAGATTTCCCACAAAGGGATGATAGTATTTGAGGAGATGGTAGTGCTAATCACCCTGATTGATCATTACACATTACATACATCTTCACAGATGCTTGTACTACTGAACCTGGAACTACAGACACTAAGATCAATTAAAATTTTTAAATGCAAACTTTTATACAAATAATCTATTTTTGGACTGAAACACTTATAAATATATACTTAGGGTCTATAATATGATATTTCAAAAATGCCTACATTACATATCTAATATACACTAGCAAATAAGAGTGATTAGCATATGAATCACCTCAAATATTTTATCATATCTTTATGATGAGAACATTAAAAACCCTACCCCTATCCCTTTTGAAATATACAACATATTATTGTTAATTTTTTTTGACATGCAGAGTGGACAGTGAGAGACAGAGACAGAGAGAAAGGTCTTCCTTTACCGTTGGTTCACCCCACAATGGCCGCTGTGGCCGGCACACCGCACTGATCCGAAGCCAGGAGCCAGGTGCTTCTCCTGGTCTCCCATGGGGTGCAGGGCCCAAGCACTTGGGCCATCCTCCACTGCACTCCTGGGCCACAGCAGAGAGCTAGCCTGGAAGAGGAGCAACCAGGACAGAATCCGGCGCCCGGACCGGGACTAGAAGGCAGTGTGCCGGTGCCACAGGCAGAGGAATAGCCAAGTGAGCCGCAGCGCCGGCCCGTATTATTGTTAATTATAGTCACCCTGATGTGGAAAATAACATCAGGACGTTTCCTGCTACCGCAGTGTAACATTTTACTTATGTACTAGACAATTCTCCCCTCCCTCCCCTTACCGCCCTATGATAACTCACTCTCCGCTCAACTTCTGTGGGATCAACTTTTAGAGTCTGTATGTAAGTGAGATCGTGGGGTCTTTGCCTTTCAGCAACTAGTTTATTTCACCCAACATACGTCTTCCAGGTTCATCCATATTGTGCCTAATGACAAGATTTCAACATTATTATTTTTTATTTATTTATTTATTTATTTAGACAGGCAGAGTGGACAGTGAGAGAGAGAGACAGAGAGAGAAAGGTCTTCCTTTGCCGTTGGTTCACCCTCCAATGGCCGCCGCTGCAGCCGGCGCACCGCGCTGATCCTGGCAGGAGCCAGGAGCCAGGTGCTTTTCCTGGTCTCCCATGGGGTGCAGGGCCCAAGCACCTGGGCCATCCTCCACTGCACTCCCTGGCCATAGCAGAGAGCTGGCCTGGAAGAGGGGCAACCGGGACAGAATCCGGCGCCCCAACTGGGACTAGAACCCGGTGTGCCAGCGCCGCAAGGTGGAGGATTAGCCTATTGAGCCACGGCGCCGGCTAACATTATTATTGATTCCATATCTTGGTCACTGTTGATGCTGCAATAAACATGAGAAGGTAGATGTCTTTTCAAGAGACTGATTTAATTTCTTTTGGTTATGTATCCACTAGTGGGTTTGCTGCATTGTTAAGTGGCTCCATTTTTTTAATTTTTAATGATTTTTACACAATAGTGGTCTTTTTGCACAAAGTAAAACTAAAAAGTATGTCTGAGCATTTTTAATTTAAGCATTTTGATTTCAGTAGTCTGACATACAAGTATTGAAATAAGGAGAAATAATCAAGATACAATGAATAATGAAGATTTCATTATGATTAAAAAATTCATTTGTTAAGAAATCTGTTGTTATTAAAAAGGAAAAGGATTAAAAAGGATTAAAGTGTTCTGCTTCCCACACAATCAGCCATCCTCTCTCTCTACACCTCTCTTTCTCTCTCTCTCTTACAAAACTGATACAAGTTATTAGATGCACTTGAAAATCACCACAAATCAGTTTTCAGCACTTCTTGAGTACAGACTGGGGTTTTTTTTTTCTTCTTTTTAAACTAAAGAAAGAAACTAGCAGATAATACCATACAGATTTAAAGTTTAGTTTTTAGAACAATACACAAGGGCTAGACAAGCAATGAGAAATATTACATAACTCATCCAGCTGGAATCGGTTGCATTTCATCACAATTCCACTGTTCTTAAGATCAAACAGAAATATTCAAAGCTCTGAAGTCTTTTTTTTACTTTCACTATCAAGGTCTTAACCTACAATACGTTCTTTGAAAGAGCATAATACACTTTTTTTTTTTTTGAATGAGTGGATCTGTAGAGGTCTGTTTTCCATGTTTTATCTGCTTCTACACAATGCCTGTCCTAAAACACATTTCTACAGATTTTGTAGAGCAAGCCTCTCCATTAGAAATCCCTTTAGATGCCTAACATTTATCTTTGTAAGTAAAGGTGAGCAAAGTAGTGGAATGTGGGCGTGGTTTAAGAATGTCTTTAGGTGAAACACCACATACACAGTTAGTCTGGCATATTTCTCCAACCTAAATTGGCTGAACTGGTATTATCCAAAGCATAAGCTTCCTTGGTAATGGGAAGCTAATCCATATACATTAAACCCTCTGTGCCTAACTAATAACTCAAGGGGCTTCTCTGTCCAAATCTACTCAGTATATGAAGTTAAAATGTTAACTACAGTGTAACTTAAAGGATTTTAGGGGCCATGCTGTTGCACAGCAGGTTAACGCCCTGGCCTGAAGTGCTGGCATCCCATATGGGCACTGGTTCTAGTCCCGGCTGCTCCACTTCCAATCCAGCTCTCTGCTATGGCCTGGGAAAGCAGTAGAAGATGGCCCAAGTCCTTGGCCCCTGCACCCACATGGGAGACCCGGAGGAAGCTCCTGACTCCTGACTTCAGATTGGCGCAGCTTTGGTCGTTGTGGCCATCTGGGGAGTGAACCAGCGGATGGAAGACCTCTCTCTCTCTCTCTCTCTCTCTCTCTCTCTCTCTGAGTCTCCTCTCTCTGTGTAACTCTGACGTTCAAATAAATAAATGAATCTTTAAAAAAAAAAAAAGGATTTTAGCACAGGCATCCATATGCCGTTTTACTGCAAGATATTCTTCTGGTGGACTCAACAAGCCTGAGAAAGCTTTCTCACCGGCAAGGTCCAAATCAGTGAATCAGGGGACCGGTGGGAGGACAGCAGGAAAGTAGGGAAGCCGGCTAGAAACCAGTGGTTTGTGGTACAATGATTAAAGACAACATTTAGAATATCTCCAGTACCAAGATAGCATATCTTCACTGATGGTAAATGAAGATACAAGAGAACAAGGGACTTGCTCCCTCACTTTAATGTTTAAGCTACATAATTTGAAAAATAAGGCAGTCTACCAAATCCCATGCGACCTTACTGTTCTGTATGCTGTCACTAATTTGAAAAGTTAATAACATAGGGTCAGGAAGAGATTTCCACTTCCTATCTCTATTGAGGTACAAGAGGTTAATGGACATCAAGGGCCTGTTTATTGAAAGAAGTGAGGTGATCTATGTATCTGCCTTTGTTTTGCTTTTGGTTTAAGCCCTGTAGGCTCTATATTTTTTTTCTCCCAAAAATGAGCATTGCAATTTCTGACTCATGGAGTTTTGAAGAAGTAACTAACACGTTTCACAAAAGTTGGCAGTTTAGCGGGAACCAGTAAATGTCAGCTGTAATTTCTATCTGGATAACGCATTGGCAGGAACAAACTTCTTTGGAGTTGCTTTATCCCATTACCAAAAACACACTATGTCTTTAAATCTGGCTAGAATTGTAAAACTATCAAATAATTAAAGACATGCCTTTGAAGTGATTTACTCTTAGGATCTACTGAAAGAAAAATTGGATTCTATGTCTGCCAAGAATAAACTCATTAGATGATGAAATCTAGGCAATGGATTCCACACTTCATAAAGAAATGACACAAATTTAAGAGTATCACTAAAGTCCCATTTTTTTCTCCACCTGAGAGAATTTTGAGGGGAAGTTTATAGAGCTACAAAACAAAAAGGCATTTTTAACCAAATATAAGCATTATTTTTTTCTATGAGCTCTCAGCAGGAGGGAAAATTGGGAGTATGGGTTAGGCTGTGTTGATTAGGTAGCCACAGTGAAAAGTACAGGTCAAGAAACATTGTTCTGAATACAGACATGGAAGAGAGACGCTGCTCTCCTTGTGTTATTTTACTCGTGACTGTAGTCACGTCCTTAACTTGGTTCATTTCGGTGAGAAGACTTGGAGCTTTTTGGCCATGTGCTTTACAGCATCTTTCACCTGTTTGTTTCTCAGCGTGTAAATAAAAGGATTCAGCATGGGTGCAACAGAGGTGCTGAGCAGGGCTATCCCTTTATTCAACGACACCCTTTCCTTTGCAGAGGGTTTCACGTACATGAAGATGCAGCTTCCGTAGGAAATGGACACAACCACCATGTGGGAAGAACACGTGGAAAAGGCTTTCTTCCTCTGTTGAGTAGAAGGTATGTTCAGAATAGTCCCGAGGATGTGCGTGTAGGAAAGAATCACTAACACCAGTGTGACCAGGAGTGTCAAGATGGCTGCCAGCAGCATCATCAGTTCGATGGTGTCTGTGTTTGTGCAAGAGAGCTGCAGTATGGGGGAAACATCACAGAAGAAATGATCCACGGTGTTGGCAGCACAGAAGTCAAGCTGCAGACCCATCACGAGGGGTGGGAAAATGATCAGGAAACCAGCTAACCATGAAGCAAAGACAAGCAAGTTGCACACCCTGGGGCTCATGATGGTCATGTAGTGCAGAGGCTTGCAGATGGCCACATAGCGGTCAAAGGACATGGCAGCCAGCAGGAAAAACTCAGTGGCTCCCAGGAGAATAGTGAAAAACAGTTGTGCCGCACAATCGTTGTAAGAAATAGACCTATCACCTGTTGCCATACTAACAAGAAATTTGGGGATACAGACGGTTGTGAAGGAGATTTCTAAAAATGAGAAATTTCGGAGGAAGAAATACATAGGGGTCTTGAGATGTGAATCCAGTAGGCTAAGGGTGATGATGAGAAGGTTCCCGGTGACACTCAACATGTAGGTGAATAAAAGGAGAAGAAAAAGGACCACCTGTAACTGTGGATCATTTGTTAGGCCAAGAAGAATAAAGGCTGTCACTGTTGTGTGATTCCTCATCGTTGGCTTCTATTTTTTAAAGAAAATAAGAAGCAATTATAAATGGGGTGGGGGGGAAGGCCTGCACAACACATCCATTTCACTTGAGGTTCTCCAAACACACACACACACAAATTGCTCCCCACACCCAACATCCCTGAATATTCTGCTACTCATTAGCAGCAGCTGATAAACATTTCCTTGCAACAATCTTGGCTCAAATTTCAGTAACTAAATAAACACAAGTCTTTGAGTTTGTTTTCTTTCCTCCAGTTCCATAAGCCCAGCCATTGCAAAATGATAACATCTCATTGATAAACTCTTATAATGTAAAAATAAAGAAGCAGAACATCTATCCTGTTGCAAATGTTTTCCTCTCTATCATATTTCAAAATTTTTCCAACACATTTACTTTACATTGAATTATTTTACACCACCTGGTGACTCATTCCTCCTTGCTAAACAAAGCTCCTTCTTCATGGTTATGACTCTTTTTCATAGACATTGCTGTTCCGTCTTAAAATCAATGAAAAGTTGACATGAGCACCTCCAGGTGTGGAGTGCGAGCTGAATTTCCTCATCAAACTTCTGAACCCTCGTGAAGATTTACATCCTCACGAACACTGTCCATTCTGCTTGCCTGGTTTTCCTGAAGATTTGCATTTACTTCTTTCTTTATGTTCTGAGTCTTGACTGTATTTTGATCTTTACTTTTATTTTGAGAGATATTAGCTTTTTCAAAGTATATTGCTAATATTGTGTTTGCTTGACAAATCATAACTCTATCTATTTCACCCTGTTGGGCTCTTTTCTCTGATATAGTCCCCTGCAGACATAAAGCATGTCCTCACACATAAGGATTGTGTTACTCACCTAGTATGTAAGTACTGGGATTCCAACTGAAGGTTTGCAGTGACAAAGGAGGGTTTCACAAAAGAATCTATTTAAAAACTAAAATGTTGAGTGGCCACCCTTAGTAGTTGTCCTTAGCACCACTGCTCCGCGTGTTTCTCTCCAGAGCAGCCTCTTTTCTTCTTATTCACATCAATCACCCCTCTACTTTCTTTCAGATTTAAGACATTACAATTCAAAATTTTGTTAATTTCTTTCTTATTGTCATATCTTCTTTCAGATCATACAAAGGCTCTCATGTTTATCCCCTACAAAATCCAACATCCTTCTTTCCTAAAGAATAATAGCACTTTCCTTATGAAGAATATTCGGTCATATGTTAAATTGTGTTTGAACCTTACTATATTTTGCATATTCCAGCTCTGGTGTTAAAAAAAGTATGAATATTCATAGATGATTACAAAATAACTAATATTTTTGTCTTAACCTCACTTATTTTTATTTTTACTTTTTCTCCTTATTTTGCCATTCTTTTCAATTGATCATTCTATTAATGTCTCTATCCCAGTCATTTATATATAATTCATACTCATTACCAAAATTATTCTCAGATTCAAGGCACAGTCTACATTAAGGCTAAAAAACTGAAAAATAATCAATCCAAAAAAATTGAGTTATATAGTGAGGCAGAGTACAAAAAGTCAGGAGTGGATTTATACAAATACACAGATCCTGTCAAGCCTAAATTTGAATTGCAAAGCACAACAATTATAAATTATGTGATATCATTGGTCTGTTTCTTACTCCCAAAGTTAAATTCTTGTTAGATGATAGCAAAATAATCTTATGTTTCCAACCATAACTATAACCCCAGCAGCATTTTTGTGGCTGTTATGGTAATTTGTATGCAAAACATTCCTACAGGGTATGAAAATGGAATTTTACATGAAATCTTTATGGAAAGCTATGGAACTCAGTAAATGTGTTTAACAAATATGAGAGAAGATTTCTCATATTCAGGAAAAGTTCATACTTTGTGCCCTATTTCAGATGTCAGATATAATGCACATCCCCACAGACTACTGTGCATACTCCGCACATAAACAATGATAATTATCATGAGGCAAGTATGTATTCACTTAATAAAACATCTACAGTATGCTGTGAAGAACACCTACAAAATGAAAGTTTCAAAGGTTTCTTATGATATAGAATTGATTTTCAACATTACTTCTGAAACCAATTTAATGCTTATTTTGCAAAGCAAAGCAAAACAAAACAAAACAATAGTTCGAATTGCTTGCCTTACTATTTCTATAGTTTTACAAGAGAATAATATTTTTGTTCTAGCTCCATTCAACAAAATTACTCTGATAAAAATACACATTTATGCAAACCTTAATTTCTTTAGCAGTAAATTTTTTTCTTGATTTTATTTGGATGTTAACTCCTGGAGAAGCAATTTCTGAATGTTGCATATCAATCATCTATTTTTATACTGCTTCAACCCATATTTTTTTTCTTGATTTCTCATCTAAAGGTACATTAGCAGCAGCAATGTTCACTTAGTATGTTTAAGCAAAGACTTATTCATGACAGTCTAATTGTGTTTCTTCTTGGATTTTTTTGTTTAAAAAAAAAGACAGGCAATGTTCTCCAATGTATATTACATTGTAAGCATAGTTTCCTTGGCTGAACATAAAAATATTTATCTTTAACTAGAAAAGAAAGAAAAAAAGAATTTCAGTTATGGTTACTCTGACATTTCTAGCCTACATGAGCAATACAGAGGCTTGCACTGTAGATCTTCAAGAACTGTAATCCCTTTTGACACTGCAGAACTTGTCTCAAGAGGATGAGATGACTTCAATACTTCTAAAGAAAGAAATATTTCCCATGAGACCACTGTGCTAGGATGTAAAAATTGCACCTTTATTAATAGTTTATTGAGTTGTTAAAACTGTAATGCAAAAATTTATGTTTAAACAAGAGACAAAATTACTTTTTAAGGCAATAAAGTGTGGAACAACCTAAGGGAGTTTTGAGGAGGAGATCTGCCAGTTTAGATGTCTATGAGAAATATATATTTCAATCAAGAGAAATGAAAGTCACCTACATGGAGTTTGGAAATACAAACGTTACTAGAATTTTCAACTCAAATTGATTCAATAAGGGGCTCATAGTGTGCTTCTCTGTGTTAAGTCTCTGAAGATCATCTCATGGAGTGAGATTTAGAGAATTTAATCATCATTGTCAAAGATGACATTTCCATTTAAGGATTGGAATCAGAGATCCAAATGTCAGGGAAATAGGCACAGTGCTGAGATTCTCAGGAAGATATGTGAGAGACACAGGTGTTTGCTTCTGCTCTCCAAGTGGTCACATCCAATCTGCAGAAAAAATATTCAAGTTTATTCCACATAAAAATGATGTTTCAAGCGCATTTATTTCCTTTCGACATTTCTATTGCTGAGTGATTAAAGTAATACTAGCAGATAAATTTTAAAGTGATCGGGGCATTGCACTCTAGACAGTTTAAAAACAATGTCATGGCTGGCGCCGCGGCTCACTAGGCTAATCCTCCGCCTTGCGGCGCTGGCACACCGGGTTCTAGTCCTGGTCGGGGTGCCGGATTCTGTCCCGGTTGCCCCTCTTCCAGGCCAGCTCTCTGCTGCGGCCAGGGAGTGCAGTGGAGGATGACCCAAGTCCTTGGGCCCTGCACCCCATGGGAGACCAGGAAAAGCACCTGGCTCCTGCCATCGGATCAGCGCGGTGCTCCAGCCACAGCACGCCGGCCGCGGCAGCCATTGGAGGGTGAACCAACGGCAAAGGAAGACCTTTCTCTCTGTCTCTCTCTCTCACTGTCCACTCTGCCTGTCAAAAAATAAAATAAAATAAATAAAAGAAAAGAAAAGAAAAACAATGTCATGAAGTTAAAAGAGCATACGAGGAATGCAATGATCATATTTATTCAGCATGGTCACTTTTCACAAACTGAACATACATACCCATGTGAATAACACTCAGAAGAAGAAACAGAATATTAACCAGTAATTGTAAATCCTTGCTCCTAATCCCTTAGTGTCATTAATCCTTTAATGTTAGGCACCATCCTTAATTCTAATAGACCAGAGGACACTTACGACTGCACCAGCAGATACGTCTGGAGGCTTCTATCTCAGACAGGAATGTTTACTATCATTTATCAACACCCTCAATAGCAATTTATTTCTTTTGGTGACTACTTCTGTTTTTTTAAAGATTTATTTATGTATTGGAAAGGCAGAGTTACAGAGAGAGGGAGAGAGAGACAGAAAGATCTTCCATCTGCTGGTTTACTCCCCAAATGGCCACTATGGTATGGGCTAGGCCAGGCTGAAGACAGGAGACTGAAATGCCATCCCGGTTCCCCATATAATTGGGCCATCTGCACCTGCCTTCCCCAGGTGCATTAACAGGGAGGTGGATCAGAAGCAGAGCAGTTGAAATTCAAACCTGTGCTCTGATATTAGATGCCAGCATTGCAGGTAGAAGTTTGACCTGCTGTGCCACAACTTCTGACCATCAACAGCAATTTCTATACTTTTTAAATAAATTTACTCCTATTTTAAAAATGAAAATATCTTTGTACAAGAATATCTGAAAAATATTCACAGAAGTTTTAATTATAATGTCTAAACTGGAAATGCTAATTCGGCAATTAAATATTTTTGGGATTTTGGCATAGAATCCTCATTATTTAAGCAGAAATGTTAGTAATAATATTTTTAGGCAGAAAGTATAAGTTTCCTTTAAGGCTTTTTCTTTTTAAAAAAAAATGGATTAATTAATTTATTTGTTTTTTAATTAATTAATTTTTTTATTTAGTAAATATAAATTTCCAAGGTACAGTTTATGGATTACAATGGCTTTCCCCCCACATAATTTCCCTCCCACTCGCACCCCTCCCATCTCCTGCTCCCTCTCCCATTCCATTCACATCAAGATTCATTTTCAATTATCTTTATATACAGAAGATCAGTTTAGTATATATTAAGTAAAGATTTCATCAGTTTGCACCCACACAAAAACACAAAGTGTAAAATACAGTTCCAGTACTAGTTATAGCATTACTTCACATGGGACAACACATTAAGGACAGAGATCCCACATGAGAAGTAAGTACACTGTGA